TCTTATATTAAAAGGGGGAGGGGATTAAAACTAAACCACACAGAGATATGTTTATTCATGTGACCTCTTACAACCAAATATAATAATTGCCTGTAATCGCAGCTTTGGCTCCCAACTCATGCTTTGACACGGGAAACGGCCATCAGCCAGCCCCTGTTTAATCCACCTATTATGTTGACTAATTAACTTTGCCTGCCAGCTTATTTCTTCCTCCATTATCAGCCCCTGTCAGCCACAAGCACCCAGCAGCATAGGGGAAACCTCAGGCTCTTTGATTGATCACCAATAGATTGACATGCAGATTAATTTAATTAGAATCACCTCACTTGAGAAATGAAAGACAATGGCAAGAAGGTTAATAGATCTGCTCTTATAATGAGGCCAGCCTCCTGAGCAAAAGAGGAAGAGTTCTGATTTATTTTGCTCAATTCCCCAGTTGCTTGGAAAGACTCTCGATTTAATTGTTCTCTGGTTTGAGAGGCATTAGCCACTGAAGAGGTGAACAGCTTTACAAAACTTGGTATATACTGTGTCCTTAGCTTTCAAAGCAGCCTTTTCTGAGTTAGCTAGGGGGACATGGGCTTCTAGATTCTTTGGGGCAATGCTGTGCTTTCATTGCCTGATGAGCATAGGGGAAAGCTCACCACCTTGGTCCAGACCTGTCAATTTTCAACCCTCAATGTCAAAGTACTCACCACCTTGAATGGTTATCAACTTCCCACTGTCCCTCATTTTCATCCAAAAGCTCTCTGGCAAAATAAGTCAAATTTCCTTTTCCTGAGAGGTGGCCATAAACTATAGACTATGAACAAGTGGCTCATGGGGTTGATTTTAAAATCTTATTAAAATGCACACTTGACAATGTACCTCAGACCCAGTGTGTTCTCTTCAGTCTGTCAAAATTCCATCTTGAACAAGTCATTCACAGAGGGCTACCAGAGATTGATGCCACAGTTGGCTGCATGCTTTCTGTATATTCATCACATGCTGACCAGGTGTGACAGGGTCTGAAGCCAGTGTTTGTTCCTCATCAATCGTGGGTTAATTTAAAAGAAGAAAGTAGTGGTGGGGGGGAGAAGTAAAGGAAATGGTCTATTCCTTTATTTTCAAAAACTATCACAACAGAGAGGCACTTTTTATTTAGGGAGATGGCTTTGTAAGACACTGAAAATTACATAACAGCTGGATCTTTCAAAGAAATGTTGATTTACTACAAGACCACAATTGAGTGGTCACTGGAGTCGTTAGCTGAACAAGCTATAAAAGGAAATCCCAAACAGTATCTGTTTCCAGTGTCAGGAAATGGAAAGTGGTTACCCCAGACGTCCGTCTTCAGAGAAGAGAGCCATGACATCCTATTAAACACCTGGAAGACACCAGTGCTACAAACAGTAGGTCTTAAAATATCTGGTTTCTTTTTAAAACATTGTCATCTAATTGCTGACATTAAATATAAGTGGCAAAAAAAACCCTACCCCAAAACCTGTTAAGAAAGAAAACTATACTACATACATTTCCTTTTCTTTGTAAGGAAATACCAAAGAGCCACCTGTGACAGGATCACTTAACAGCAAGCACAGCCAGAACTGGACAATGGGGAATGAAGGATCCCTCATCCCATGTTGTTTACTCTAGAGACTAACTAGTAAACATGTCCCTCAAAATTTCATGGCACAAAGTCCCAAGGACAAAATAATCTCCCTCATTCCAATTTGGAAATGATTGGGATAGATTTAAACAAAGTATTTTTCTGAAATTAACCCACAGAGTTATTTGCAAATTGAAAATAATCTGTGAGATGACAAAGGTGGGGGGTGGAATTTAATTCTAAGCTAACTGAAAAACAACCTATGGTAGATGGACAATGAGCCTCCATGGTCCAACACAGAATCATAGGCTCCTGGCAAGAAGAGGCAGGTAAAGGGGACAGACAGGTTTGAGAAGTCTTCAGCATCTATTTTATTGACAAAAATTGGACATCTTGAATTTAAGATAGAAAATTCTGTTTCCCTTTGGAATCAACCACCCTTTTACTACTTCCCTTTTCACCCCACTAGATAGAGAGGGGACATGAACATGGAAATGTTCATGTCTAGAGTTTTTCGATGTGTGTTGGAACCAGCCTAGAGAGGGGAGAAGAACATGGAAATGTTCATGTCTAGAGTTTTTCGATGTGTGTTGGAACCAGTCCCTCCTGTTTCTATAATTTCACTGTCCAAAAGTTTCACTGTTGGAATTTATACTAGGTAAAATATAACATCCCATTCCTGAGTCAAAGTAGCCACATTTCACTTGCTAGTGGCCACTGGACTAGTTGGGGCAAATACAGAATTTTAAATCCTCCCAGAATGTTCTACTGGATGGTGTTCCCCGGAAATAGCTCTGAAATAATAACTTGTGACAATTTATTGGTGAAGACAGGCTAGTTGAATTCAATCTACAGCAATAAATACAGGTTGAGACATAGACATTTGTGTATTTTTAATCAGTGGACTTTTTAAATAAAATTTGAACAGGGGCATTGCTTTTCAGAACAGCATCTTCAGCCTGATTTTACACTGCATGGTCCTCTGGTTTCTTTCTGGGCCCCACCCTCCAAGTTAGGGCATTTGGTATGAGGCTGTAAAGAGAACAAGAAAGAGGGGGAGGTCGGTAGCTACCTGTAGCTTTTTTGAGAATGTACACCTATTTTATTTTCCCAGTTTGTTATCAGCATCTTGGAAACTTGTCCAGTGCATTCTTTCCTGGATCTAGAAACCCCAGAGGTGATTATTATTATCATCATCCCCCTCTATTTAGAAATTTGGAAGGGTGTCACACCAAACAGTTGTCTTTTTTCATTGATGTGCCTTTGGCCATCAGCTGAAGGTGAGTTTACCCTTTCTGCATCCCAGAGTCCATGACACTTGGTGACATTTATAAAGGTCTCCGATTCTCAAGGCTAATTCTGTGAGGCTAAAGTCAACCAAGTGGCAAGCCTGGTTCCTGGTCCTCAGTGAGCACTGATAAACACCAGTAGCAGGAAAAGGGGTATTCTTCCTTTGTGGGTAACACCCTATGAAGAGTTCAAAACAAGTGTTGGACTGACAATCCTGACACAGTGACTCCTGACTCTCATGAAAAGGAACCAAAAGAAACACATTTTAAATAAGAGGACAGAGGAGTAAGCCTTCTGCCCCACAGATTTCCAGGTTTGAAAGGCCTGGCCTCACAAAGTAACCTGACACAACTGAGAACTCTCATGAATTGCCCTTCTTACTAGATTGAATAATTTCACTTTCTAGACGACATCTCCATCTTAACCTGCTACTTTCTAAGCTGGACACTAAATGAAACCTCACCGCTTAGGAAACAGTCTGCAAACCAGACATCTTAGTAGTCTAATTTTTTTCAATGCCTCCCACCAGGAAGAATTTCTAGAAAGTTCTGTCATTGGTTAGTTCCCCCTCTCCATCATTCCTCAGGCTGTCCTTCGCTCCCTGTCATACAGGAGACCTTCTGTGTCCTAACTATATCATCTAAGATTCATGAGGCATAACCTCTGTCTCATGAGCAGATTTTCAAAAAAGACACAAGCTGCTAAATGCAATGGCCAATGGAAGATCACGGTAACAGAAGTAGCAGCCTACATGAAAGAAGGGATTATGACCAATACAAGGACTGAAAATTCCTATCTCTGTGCATTCCTCAAACTGGTATAAAACCAGAGGAAACACATAATATCAAAGCACTATCAATGTTTAAATTCAAAATCTTTGGCAGATAAGTATCTTCTTCTTAATAAGTTAGTCATTCTGGTGAATTGATTTTGAAAATTACAAATCTTGGTTTTCAAAGCTTCTGTGAAAGGAAATGTTGAACACAGTTGGTTTGGTTCATGGCATCTTTCTCTATGATTTCAACTCATTGCATTTTTGCATTAATTAATGCAATTACTAGCTAGTTATTTCTTTTCTTTTTCATTTTTCACAAGTGTGTGTGGTGTGCATGTGTGTGCAGGCATGGTTTTGTTGTAGTGGGTATCAGGTGCACCTGGAAACCTAAGGTTGACACTGGGATTCATCATTCATTCTTCCACTGGTTGAGAAGCAGGGTCTCTTAACCAAACCCAGAGCTCACAGATACAGTTAATCTTCCCAACCAGCTTACTCTGGGGATCTATCCTGTCTCTGTTTTCTGTGGATAGCATTACAGGTGGGCCACCATGCCTACCCTACATATACATGGGTTTCCGGAGATCCATACTCCCAATCTCATGCTTGTTAGGCAAACACTTTACCACTTAGCCATCTCCCCCAGTCCAATAACAAGGTATTGAAAAAGCTGTGATTTGAAGCACATGAATGAAA